AATAGCTTAAATATAAAATTAACAAGTGTTTTTTAACCTCCAGCAAAGAGCGCTTCCTGTTTGTAGTTACTCTGCTAGTTAGTTTTTTCTGTGAACTGGTTACAATCTATATTAGACAATGTTCTAGTCATCCTTTTTCTTTCCTTCTGTATCTTGATTCATAGATTTATGGTGCTCATTGCCACAGGATGTTAGCAATATTTATTTTGAATTAGAGTGTATACATAATGGTATACTGGCAATAATGCACCCCTTTCCTTCAGTGGGAGGAAAAATCCTGCATTTCTCATCCAGCCTGTATTAGAATCCCAAAAGTCTTTATTGGTTATAAAGACTAAATGTGGAGATAAATTATGCTTTGCTTGGGGACTTGCTGGTCTACATTCTTCTGGATGGTACTGAAAAAAGTTCTCACAATAAGGCCTTGGAATGCTTCATAGATGCCACCTAATGAGAAGCTAAGACAAAAGTAGCATAAGGGTGGGTGCATCAGTAGTGATAAGGGAAAATGATAAACTGGTCCTCTTATTTCAATTTCTTGATGTAACCTTCCCTCAGGGACAGAATTATGTCCCTGCAATGCAGGAGTCTGGCTCTTCCTTTTTCATTTGCTGCTTCTGGCTAGTAAGAGTTTAATAACAAGGGGTCCTGGTTTTCTCTGCTAAAAAATCCAAGACTGGAACTCTGCCAGCTTTAAAGGGGAAAATCCACATTTTTCTCCTTTTAAAGGGGAAAACCCAAATCCCTGTTGATAATACTGACTGCTACAAGGGAGAATAGCCAACAGGTCTCCATCTTCACCTGCCTTCAAGCAGTAGTAGAGGCTTGAAGACGTGAGCTCCTTGATGCCCTGCCCCTTTCCTATAGCCTCCTGGGTGCTCTGAAAAAGAAGCTTTCCAACTACACAACTTTCACCCAGCTTCTCTTGGATGCTTCTTAAAGCACAAGACCTGAGCTGTTTAAGCTTTCTGTGCCTCCTTCCTCCCTGACCCCTGCTCCTGTTGCTCATCCGTTTCCTCAGTAGCAGCAGTGGACTGAACCTGACACTATTTTGACAGGAACTCTTTTCTGTTTTGAGTAGTAGCTGGAAAATGGACCAGAGTCTAATTAGTCTCATTTGCTTCTTGGCAGCAGAAGTGTTATGTGACTAAAGACTCTGGAGGATAATAATGTACTAGTTTGTTAGTTTCCATCTGGAGTATTGTCTTCACGAAGGACTGGTGACGCTTCTTTTTTAAATAAGCACTTACATTCTTCAGAAATTGGGTGCTTTTGAGCTCTTATGGTGATTTATTAATAGTGAATTTTTCAGGTCCTATTCCCAGAGAATTAACTAAAACATAGTACCAGATCATTCATCTGTAGAAATATAAGACAATTAGGCAATAAAAGTATGGTCTAGGTAATGTGCATAAGGAAGCAGCAATTTAGGAGAATTGGAAATAAATGTAAGTAGGGAGTGTAAATACTGATTTAAAAAATATCCATTTACCCTGCTGTAATTACAGTGGTTAAGCAATTCATTGGTATGGCAACCCCCAGCCTAGCTCATGTAGGGCTACTCTGGCCCAGCCTGTAGGGTACCCCGCCCACCTCAGCACCAGCAGGGTGCTTCCAGCCTCCCAAGGTGTGGCGGAGACTTAGCAGCTTCCCAGGGCCAGGCCTCATGACAAACTGGGCCCAGGTCCAGGCATGGATGGGGGAGGAGTGGGGGGTGCACCATGGGGCTGAGCCGCAGACACAGGGGAGCTGCCCCATATTCGCTTACCTCCACAGGCCCAGTGGCAGCTGTAGCAACAGAAGGCACTACATCCTGCCCAGTGTAAGGATGGGTCCGGGTGTGACAGTACTGGGCTCCAGCCCATGGCTCTGATAAGTCAGACGGAGGGGCAGCTGCTCAGCCCCAGGCTAGCACCTACACTGCCCTGCCCCGCCGTGCTGCAGAGGAGGGGCTGCATCTGCCTGCCGGAGCTGGATATCAAAGCATTGATAAACCCTGCCATGGAGGCAGAACAGCCCAGGAAGCCAGGGGTAGCAGCAGCCAGCAAGGGGCTTTACCAGTCAACTGCAGCCAACAATGTGCAGCTTCTGGGAGCCAGCTGCAGCAGCACAGGAGGGAGGGAGGGGTGACTAATACCTAATAGCTAGGCTCTGTGGACCCTGGTGCGGCTGCTTGCAGCCTCCCCGCTGCCTGCCTTGAGCAGCTGTGCTCTGTGACAGGGGCCTACCCTGGAGCTAGGACTGCTCGTGGCAGGTGGCAGGGAGACTGCAAGCAGTTGCACCAGGGTCCACAGAGCCTAGCTGTTGGGTCAGGGGCAGGCAAAACACAGGCCACAAGCTGGATCCAGCCCACCAGGCCATTTTGTCTGGCCCATTGAGCCCCTAAAAAAATTATGGTTGCCTGTCAAAGATGACAAGGTGCCAGCAGCAGCAAGGCCTGCCCAACCCAGTCCCCACTAGCCGCAGCTGGAATCTTTTGCCTAGCAGAGGCTTTTGACCTGGTGACCCTGGGGCTGTTCCCCTGCCCTCCCTTCACCGAAAGTGGAGAATCAGATAAAAACAGGTGGGGGGAAGGGGTAGCAGCGGGCAGGGAAGGAAGGGAAGTGGCAGGGGAAAAGCAGTGGTGGTAGGCATGGGGGGAGAGGAAAAGTGGCAGTGGGTGGGAGCACAGGGCCCCAGGGCCAGGACCGATGGCACTGGGAGCCTCAAGGGCTGTGCTGGTTCATGGCATTGCAGCTGGGAACTGTGCACTGCCAGGGGGTACCCAGCCAGCTTCATGCTGTGCCACGCAGTTCCTGGCTGCAATGTTGGGACCACAGAATACAGCAGGAGCCAGCCTGGCCCCCATGGTTCCCAGCTGGCTCCTGCTACCACCTCTATCATGCCTGCAGCTCCCGCACTTGCACTGGGGGAAGGCCTGTGCTGGAGCTGGCTGCCTTCCCCGCCTCTTGCCGTGTAGGCCCCTGGACTCTGCTGGGAATGGAAGGAGCCCCACCACCTGCTTCCCTGTGAAATCCAACACAGGGCTTACCCCAGTGCAAGTGTGGGAGCTATGGGTGTGTAGCATGAAGCCCCAGGATAGAGGTGGCCAGGCAGGCTGTGCTCCTTGCACCCGCATGCAGCGCTGGCCAGAGCCATGCCCCACCAGGTGCCAGTGCCTGCTCTGGGCACGAGTGCCCTGAGCATCCCACCTGCTGCTGCTGGTAATGAGGGCTGTGTGCTCTGTGGGGGGTCCCCAAAACCCCCACCAACCTCACACACCCACACAGCCACATCCTGCCATACACCCCCCCACACCGCACCATAACCCCCCACTAAATAAAATAGTGAGACTTTATTTTTGAGTTATTACGCAATCCCTTCTATATACAGTACACAAACACAAATCATAACAAATATTTTTGTAATAAAATTGAAATGTTCTACTAGGTGTTTGACCTTTAGTGTATGATTCAGATTTTTTTCTGGTTCTAAGATGACAACCCCCTTCCCAAAAGGAGTATTTTTTAAGGGCAAGGGGAGGAACTTCTGGTGGCAAAGGACAGGGGGCAGGACTTCCAGTCCCAATATGGTGACCAGGGAGCAGGACAACTTTCAAGGGGCAGGGCTACCCATGGTGCCTTTGACAGCTCACCAAAACTCATTAAGCAGCCCTCCAGCCACAATAATTTCCTGTCCCT